CATTTGCCCTGTCCTGTTGTTTTTCTAACATATTGTTGAACTCTAAGAGTTTTTAGATGACTATGACTGCCTTTTCGCATGCTGAGAGTCATTACGATAGCTTTTTAGCTTCATTAATTTAGCAAATGCTCCGTGGGTCGGTGTCCGCTCCGAGTAAACAAACGAAGCTTAACCTGGCGGTGATAAAGCCTGGCAGCAAGCAGTGGGAATTTATCGTTTTTATCACGAGATGACAAATTATTACCATGGCGAATGCCTTAGACGGTTTATCGCACACGATAACATATCACCCATCCCTACTGTTCATACTGATTAAGGTTCAAACCTTGGTGAAGCGGCTCAGCAGGTAAGATACTGACTGTTCATACTGATTAAGGTTCAAACCTTGGTGAAGCGGCTCAGCAGGTAAGATACTGACTGTTCATACTGATTAAGGTTCAAACCTTGGTGAAGCGGCTCAGCAGGTAAGATACTGACTGTTCATACTGATTAAGGTTCAAACCTTGGTGAAGCGGCTCAGCAGGTAAGATACTGACTGTTCATACTGATTAAGGTTCAAACCTTGGTGAAGCGGCTCAGCAGGTAAGATACTGACTGTTCATACTGATTAAAGGTTCAAACCTTGGTGAAGCGGCTCAGCAGGAGGCACATAATGTCGCAGACGTTGGCTATAAAGAAGTCGCTGAGGGCCTTGGAGCTGCAGTGGGAGGCCAGAGGCAGCAGGACGCGCTCCGTCATGGCCTGCAGCATGGCGCTGACCGGCACCTCGTCCTGCTGGATCACCTCGTGCACGGTACACAGCAGCTGCAGCTGCCGCTCYCCGCTCGCCCTGACCCAAACAGAGCAGGCAGGATGAGCGGAGCCTGACGTTACAAACAAACAAACAAACGTGAGGTTTACTGACCGCTTGGCYATCTTCTGGAAGCAGGCCTGAAACTGCTCCTCCATGATGTGTTTCCTGTCCCGGCACAGGACTCCTGCCAGCAGCCGGAGCAGCAGTGGACTCTGGGACAGCTCCAGGGCGTCCAGCAACTAAAAACCCAAACAAAACGAGTAAAAGGTGACGCTGGTGTCTGTTCAAACACTAACCTAACCTGCTGGTTCCCCACACGCCTGTCGTCACCTTCCGGACACAGTCCATGTAGTTGTTGCGGTGCAGGGAGCCCCTGATGAACTCGTCGGACTGCATGGGGAAGTGGGAGGCTATCAGGGCCTCGAGGGCTCTCTGCAGCTCAGCGAGGGGCTCCTCTGTTAGGGTCGTGAAGAATGGCAACACCAACAAGGCCTGGCTCTGAGCAGACAGACCAGAACCCCAAACAAAGATCAGRGTTGTGGTTATTTTATTTAACGGGAGAAAATGTGAACCTYAACGTTACCTTGAGGTTCAGAGGCAGGGCCACGTCCACCAGCAGAGAGGTGAAGGTGGAAAACACTGAGCGGAACGCTGCGTGGCTCACATCAGAGCACACCGACGAGTCGATCTGAGGAAACAAAGGAAGGGTTTAATGAAATGAGTCCAACAAAAATGAGACTGTGACCTGGCTTCACCTGTAGGAGCTTGGAGAGCAGAAGAAGAGTGGCCGTTTTACTCTCCGACGTGGACGAGGGGCCCTCCCACCATGCCTGCAGGCTGACCCACCTCCTCAGCACCTCGTCCACCAGCTCCTTCCCCCGAGTCTTCCTCACCGAGCGCTCCCTAAAGCTGTGGTCCAGCATGCCGTTCAGCAGGATGCTCACCTGGACCACACAGTATGTTTAGCGTTAGCAGTTAGCTTAAACTGGTGGATAATAATTGTGTCGCTATTCAAATGAATGGAGGCAGAACAATGATTCATATTGATTTGATATGGAAATCCCTATTAACACCACTGATCACACCATTCTTCTTGAAAAGTTAAATAAATATGGTATTAAAGGACCAGCACTACAGTGGGTATCTAGCTATTTGAAAGACAGGAAACAGTTTGTACAAATAAATGATGTAAGATCTGTGCTCTGTAACATCACATGTGGAGTTCCACAGGGCTCTGTACTTGGACCAAAGTTGTTTCTTTTATATGTAAATGATTTGGTAAATGTATCAGGGTTGTTGAAATGTGTTTTATTTGCAGATGATACCACATTTTTTTGTTTTGGTAAAAATATAGAATGGATGTTGGAAATGATACAAACAGAATTTGTAAAAATACAAACTTGGTTTCAACTTAATAAATTATCATTAAATTTGGACAAAACTAATTACTGATTTGATTTTGATTTGAAACAAACAAACCAACAAACAAACCAACAAACAAACCAACCAACCAACCAGCGCTACAGAAAACCACCTCCCTGGCAGAGGTAAGAATGACTCTACCATGTTGGGGTTCTGGGACGCAGCGTTCATGAGGCAGGGCACGGTGGTTTTCAGACTCTTCAGCAGCTCGGCGTTGATGGTCATCTGGAAGAGGCTGTAGAAGTACTCGCCGTGAGAGAAGCTGGAGAAGTTGTGACTGTGACCGCTGGATATTGGTACAGACAGCATGATGGTGTTCAGCAGTAAATCCACCAGCTGCTCACTCTGCAGAGACATGAGATAAACACACAAGACATACAGTGTGAGGTTATGCTCAWGCTACGTTCACACCAAACGCGTTTTGAGCGGCCAAAAAGCGCAAAACGCCTCTCGTTGGACGCKRTATTTTCAGACCGAAGAACGCACTAGTGTTCAGACCAGAACAAGCAGCAGCGGGGTGTGGGAGGAGCGTGTACACGGCGGGTGAAATAAAGATAAAATAAAAGAAAATGGCTTTGATTTATTTACTAAAAAGGAAGTGAACATCGTGCACAGCAGATAATTAACTCACCAGACGATTTAGAGGTGATTTGTTCGGTTAGTTTCGTCACTCCAGAAGCTGCCAGCTGACGGACTTTTTTTTTTTTTGGTCCTGAGCAGCTGATCCACATCAGTGCTGATACAGTATATCCTGCCAAAAAAAATCCAACTGCACATGGTCGATTTCAGGTAAAGATCTCCAGTCCGTCTGTTTCGGTTTTCAGTGGGAGACGCGTCGAGCGGCGAAAAGTTCAGATATTTGAACTCTGGCGGCGGCGGCTTCCGCAGCACCGCATGCGCGGAAAATGCTCTGCGCCCATTCCGCCTTCCTTGCGCACCACCCAAAACGTATGTGACGCGACGCACGACCCCCAGAGGCGCGTCCACCACAGACTTTGCATGTGAATCAGCTGCTCCTGCCGCTCAAAACGCGTTCGGTGTGAACGTACCATTAGTCTACGAGTAAACACTGAAGCACCGTTATTAGCTGACCTCAAAGACAAAAGTGGAAACAACTCAGGTTGGATGACCTCACTTGTGCTTTTAATTTGAAAAAAGGAAGTCCTAAACTTCTTACTAGGTTTCAGAGAAGAAAGCTGATGTATGTTGGAATTTCAGGCTGCACCGGTACGCTTCAGCATTTCTACAGAAATGTTCTAGTTTTCCAAGATTATATCCACCATTTAAACAGTTAGCTCTGTCGTTTATCTAAAACATGACCAACCTGTTGGCCGAGAGAAAAGGCCAGCTGAAGCAGACCATCAGCTACTCTCTTGGTGTTGACGTCCAATGAGGGGAGCGCCTTCCTGTCCCCGCCAGGAGCTATGCTTTTATACACCGTCATCAGAAGTTTAAACCCAACAGACTCGGCGTAGGCTGAATCCTTCAAGAGAAAACACACGGCGGCATTTTTGTTGGAGAATAGCTGCTAGAGAAATGGATGGCGTGTTTTGGGTTCATGTTCATACCTGGCTGTGCAGAATGGAGCCAAGGAAACCAGCTCTGTGGATCTGTTTACAGGAAGCGAGCACCATTTCCATCTGGTTATGGTGGCTGCTCGACTGGTACAGGTCTACGGCACACAGCTGCTCCACACTATCACAGACAGAAAATAAAAATATACAGACGACTTTTACTTTTGATTGGAGTTTCTCACATTGAGAGGAACTCCCCCAAATATGGGCGGGGCTTCTGATATAAGCCAAGCCCATATTTGGTTGCTATAACTGCCTGTATTTGTATACAGAGCTTGCAAAACGATATTGAACGGCAACATATTTGTTTAAAAATTAAATCTACTTTGTCTTTAAGGAAGCAGTTACTGAACCACAGGTTATTCCTACTTTCCAATATCCAGCTCAAACTCTGGTGCTCACGCACCTTTTCCGTGAGATTTTTGTCCGCAAGCTACTCTCAAGATGGCTGCGGTACGGCGAGGCCAGCAAAGCTTTGAGCAGAGGAACGCACACCTCTGGGAGGTTCTTCATCACCTCCACGTCGGCCATGTTGAACCCGACAGCGGCCGGCTCGCACACCACCATCGCTGTCACCTCGAAAAACACGGAGCAAAATAAATCTTGTTCCAGGATCTGTGAACGAAACGACAAAAACACAAGTCAGGATTTCCCAAAAGTATAACAGAAGTAAAAGCAAAGCAAACAGAAAGCTGAAACATATGTTGCTGAAGAAGCTAAAACTGATGTGTCTAAGCTAAAGAAGCAAAACACTGGCTACTGATCAAAAAGCTAGCTAGAAACTAAAAGTGGCAAAGTGGTAGATAAAAGCAAAGGTCTAGCTTATAGTAGCAAAAGTCCAGAAAAACCTAAAAGAATCAAAATCAAATTTATTAATAGTACATTTAAGAACAACTTTTATTGTCCCAAGCTTAAAGCAGCAAGAGGCTAGCTAAAAGCTTAAATAAGCTAGCTAGAAATAGCAAAAGCTAAAAGTAGGTGGGGGCTAGGGAGCTTAAAGTAGCAGAATGGTAGCTAATTATTGTGAAAGTCTAGCTAAATACTAAAAATAGAAAAGACTAAGAAAAAGAATAAAAAGGCTAGCTAGAAGCTAAAAGCACCAATACTAAAAAGTAGCCAGAGGCTAGTTAAAAGCTGAGAAGTAGCAGAAAGGTAGCCAAGAGTGGCACAATTTTATCATTATTTAAGCTAAAAGTAGTAAAAGTTTAGTTAGAAAAGAAAAGACAAAGTATCAAAAGGCTAAATAGAAACTAGAATTGGGTAAAGTTAAAAGTAAGCATAGTGATAGCCAATAGTAGCAAAAATCAGGCTAAATACTAAATGTAATAGAAGGCTAGCTACAAGCTAAATACAGCAGAAGTTAAAAGTAGAAATAGACTGTTTAAAAGCAGCCGAATATTAACCAATAGATGCAACGGTATACCTAAAAACTACAAGTCTCAAACATCCAGCTCGAAGCTAAAAGTAGCAGAATGTTGGTAAAAGCTAAAAGGTAGCTTAATAGAAGCTGTTTACTGAAGCAGATTTGAATGTTTTTCAAAAGGGAAAATATTTGTAAATAAAGTTAGATACTTCTAAAAAGGTAAAACAGTTACAAAACACTGAATGAGCTAAATGTTTAGCATCAAAATAAAACCTCAGTGGTACCTTCCAGAAGCCCTGGTCTCCTTTCAGCAGGATCATGGAGGTGAACTCCAGCAGACGGACCACGATGGTGCACTTGCTGTGGCTGTACTGGTCCACTTCCCTGGGGCTGAAGTGGGAGGTCCTCTCACCCAGAGAGAAACAACTCTCTGCTGCTGCCAGCTCATGAGCCGCCAGCTCCGTCAGGAAGAAGTGTGTCGCTTTCAGGAAGCTGGATTTGTCTTTGGAGTCTGGGAAACAAACAGCAGGGATAGATAATTATGGATTTAAAACATCAACAAATCCAGATCAGCTCCACCTCAGAGCTTACTGAGAACGAGCTGAGGCTTGATGATGTGCAAGCTGATGAAGGTGTTGTAGCAGTCCAGAGCAGCCAGCAGCAGGTCCATCCACTGCAGGACGGCTCGCACGCTGAACGGACCCGTCAGCTCCCTGAGGGTGGGCTGGGAGAGGAGACCCCCGCCTTCAAACTGTGAGATCAGGAACTCCACGCCACGGTCCTTCAGTAAGCCGTCCACCCACTGAGGAAGAGATTTCTTCTCTGACGTGCAGACATTTCATCAGATGAAAAAAGAAAACACAGTGAGTTTGATGACAAAGTTAAAGACCGAGCAGCTTTTTACTGGGATTGTAAGCATTTGGTCAAACCTCAGAAAACATGCAGTGATCCTGTGATACCTCACATGATGCATCAGTGGTCATAGAAATATTTATTTAACAGACGGACATCAGCACTCAGAGTACATGTTGGGAATGACTCTCAGCTACTACTTCACCAAATCTCAGCTCAATATCAATAAAACAGGCAGCGTTTTAAACATTTTTCTGTTTTCTACTGTCAGTTAACAGTGGCAGCCATCTTGACTTGTGTTGAGTCCAAATGTTAAATTATTGTAGCCTTTGTTTGTCTCAGTTTAGCTTTTAGTTACTGTTTTACCATTGTAAGCTTTTAGATATATTACTTCTTATTAATTTAATATTTTAGCTAAAGTTTTGCCAGTCATAGCTTTTAGCTACAGTTTTGTAAACGTTTACTTTCAGCTACATTTTGGTAAATTTTAATTTTAAGCTATTATTTTTGCTATTTTCAGCCTTTAGCAAAAGCTATGTAGTTTTAGCTTTAAGTTTTAGCTACTGTTTTTGCCAATTTTATAGCTTACTTGTGGGTTTTATCATTTTAGTTTTGAGCTATATTTAGCTAGTTTTTACGATTGGCTAACATTTTGCCATTTGAAACTTTTAGCTATAATTTTTATTTTAAGTTTAGTTTTAGTAATTTTAGCTTTCAGCTACAGTTTTACCTTTTGAAACTTTTAGCTATAGTTTGATTATTAAATATAGCTTTTAGCTTCAATGGTTGAAAGTTTAGCTTTTAGCTACAGTTTTATCTTTTAATTTAAGCTCAATTTTGCTAAGTTTAGCTTTAAGCTATCATTTTGCTGTTTTAGGCGGCCATGGAAGAGTGGTTAGGGGAGTCGTTGAGTAACTGGTGTGTTGCCAGTTTGATTCCCTATTCTGTCTGTCTCAGTCATGTCCTTTTAGTATCACTTTTCTCGTTTTACCTTTCAGCTACATTTAGCTAGGTTTTACATTTAGCTAATGTTTTACAATTTTAAGCTCTAAGCTATATTTTAATTTTCGTATTTAGGTATGGCTTCAGTAATTTTAGCTTTTAGCTATGGTTTTATTTATTTTAGCTTTTAGCTAAAGTTTATCCATTTTAGTTTCTAGCTCCTGCATTGCGCTTTTGTTTTGCTAGTTTTAACTAAAGAAAAGTTATTCTACACACAGCTTTTTTTCTGTATTCTAACAGAAAAAACTAATTTCTTTTGAAACAGAATATCAGATTTTTCTGAGCTTCCTGTTCAGACCTGGGAGGAGGGGAATAAATTCGTAGAGCAGCTCCATGCACTTGTGGCGGCACTCTGTCTGCGGTCGGCCACACTGGTTCAGGAGCCAAACGACGACGTCTGACAGGAAGAGCTTCTCCTCAGGTGGAAAACCTCTGAAACAGGTGAGACACAGCGGTACAGTTTAATTAATTAATTACTGCTGGATCTGTCGGCTGTGGCAGCCATATTGGACCAAACTGTTTCTAAAAGTTATTCAGCTTTAAATGTGATAACCTAAATGGTTACTTTCTAAGAGTTTTATTCAAATTAAAACACAACCACAGCTAAAATATTATTTTATATCTTTCATCATTTCCTGGAGGATGATTATAGTACAGATCGGACCTCGGGATGCGTCTCTCTGCGTTGTGCTGGTTGAGAGTCGGAGCTTTGTGTTTGATTATTCTCTTCAGGTGGTCGATGGCACTGCCACACTGCTGCTGTGTTCCTGCAACACAGACAGAAAAACGTTTTCTTACTGGATAAACACTTAAGGCTAAACTGAATCTGCTGTCTGTAACATACCCATAGATCGCTCATCTGAGTGGGCCAGAGCCAGACTTTCAACAAAAATGACCAGAACTTCAAAGACGAACTGTTCCACCAGGGAGTTCTCCTCCCTGAAAGTTAAACAGACATAACGCAAGATCTGATGAATGGATACAAACATAAAGAATCCCAAACACTGAGACCGATAGGAAAACTGTTTTTTTTTTTTAAAGTGAGGCTGAATGTTGAGTTCTGAATAAGTGATGACACAGAGTAAAACACAGTCTGAAAGAGTAAAACACAGTCTGAAAAGTGTGTAAAAGATGATTAAACGAGCAGAATGGACATTGAAAATAACAAAATTGAAGCCAAAATTATCAGAACAGAGGCTGAAATGAGCAAAAACAAAAGCTGAAATAGCTAAATGCTAAATGTAGCAAAATGGTAACAGAAAGCAACACAACAATAAAGCTGACATGAGCAGAACAATAGCTATAAATGGTAAAACAGATGCTAAACGCTAAAACAAACTTAACAGAAGCCAAAAAGTGTAACCTACTATGCAATAGTAGCTTAAATTTTCAAAAATACTATAATGGTAGCTTAAAGCTAAATGTAGCAAAACTGTAGCTAAAAAAGAAGCTAAAAGCTAAAATTAATGTAGCGGGAAAACAGTTGCTAATAAGTTAAATTACTAAAGGGCTAGCTATAAGCTATTAGCAGAAAAAGAAGAGAAATAAATCAAGCTTATTGTTCGATTTTTGTTTCTTGAGGGAATTGATGACATTTTATTGTATTTTTGTGAGGAGTTTTATTTTAGGTGAAGTTCTGAATGTTTTGAATATGTAAACGATTAAAGTAACACCAAGTGTTTGGAAGTAGCATGACTCAGCACCTTTATGGAAAAGCTAAAGTGAAGCTAAAAGCAACAATCCAGACAGGACCATGTCCGACCTGAACTGTCTGTAGATGCTGTTGAACGCCAGAGCGGCTCCGAGTCTTTTGAAGCCGTTGGGGTGGAGAGCCAGGCTGTAGATGCGTTTAAACAGGGACTTCATGTTGGTCGGGCTCTTCTCCTGCTGCCTGGGCGTGGTTTGTTTGATGGACCATTTGACAAACTCCTCTATGCAGCGGCCACAGAAGTCTCTGAGAGTGCTGTCCGTCGGGTCCACCACACCGTCCTGAAGACACAACACGACCAGGCAAAGAAAAACTCAACATGTGGCTCTAAAACACAATGATGGCAAAGACTCGACAGAATCCAAACTCTTACCAGAATGGCCTCCAGAACAGCCACTGTGTCCTGGCTCTCAAACTTCTTGTTGTTTGTGAACCAGTGAATCAGCTGCATAACGAGCGGCTCAAACAGCTGCCTGGTTACCTGCAAGAGAAAAAAAACGTTCTGCGTTAGCTACGGTAGCTTAGCCGTCTTGAGTTAGCCTGGCTCCAAAGATTTCCAGAGATTTTCCTAACAGACAAACATGGTCCATTTACTTATTAAAAAAATTAGCTCAATCAGTTAGCGCTCAGAATATACTCTGAAGATCAATCTGAGCAAATACTGTTTTGTTTTAAAACATCAGTTGGCTGCGGCAGCCATCTTGAACCAAGTCAACTTCAAAAGTTAAGTTGTTGGTTGCCAGTGGTTGGAACAGTCCTGCTAATAGAGGAACTAGCTTCTCATTTACAAGCAGTGCTCAACATGTCACTGTGTGTGTAGCATGTAGCATCTTTAGCAGCTAAACTTCAAACTAAGAGCACAACAAGAAAAAAATTGTATAGGTTTTCTGGACGGGTTCTTCTCTAATGAAACGTTTCGTCTCTCCTCCAAGAGACTTCTTCAGTCTGAGAGTTTCAGGCAAAATTCAGGCTTTTAAGCACTGCTTCCATGTGACTGATACTCACATCACATGGCTATCGTTGACACCTAATTAACACCTATTGTTAACAGGGGGAGCACAACAAAAAACATTTAACAAAATTTAAATAAACACAAAAACTGACTACATATACAGTAAAACATGGTAAAGTATTTGCTGTTTGTGGTTTGACTAACTTCAAAGGGTATTTCTCAAATATAAACTCAAACCATGCTTTTATTTTGAAAGGGTAAAGCTGTCTCAAGTTATACAGAGCTATAACTCTGGTTTGGATTGGCCGATTTGCCACAGATGACCAACTTCAGATTAAATCAATAGAAAACTTACAAGTTTGTGAGGATCTCACATGTGTGCTGGCAGTTAGCATTAGCTTCTACTAATTTTGAACTCTGTTTTAGCAGTTTAACGATAGCTGAACTAAGGTTCTTGCAGATCAGTGGTTAGTGAACCTAAGTTTTTGGTTATCTATGCCCACCACTGTTCATCCAACAATAACTTTGTGACAACTTCAAAATAAAGGTCCCACACACCTGATCGACATCGCAGGCCAAACGCAGCAGAACAGGAAACAGTCTTTTGTGCAGCTTGTACATCGGCGGCAGTCTGTTCTCCCCTTCGACCATTTGAGCACTCTTCCCGACCATGTAGACCACCAGGCTGTGGAGCAGCTCGCAGGCCGCCACCTGCAGAGACAGGCGAGCAGATCCTGAGCGTCTGTGTCTCTGAACGTGCAGCGAACTGAAGAGGACCTACCTTGGTTTGCCGATCGCTCGTGGACAGAGCCAGCTCGCTGATCCGAGGCAGAAACGGGTCCAGGTATATCACCGGCTTCATGTCGGTGAAAGGCACGGCGAAGCTGAGGCGTTTCTCCGAATCCCAGGCGACAAACTTCTTCATCCTTTCTTCTGAGGAGACCACTGTTCGCAATAAAAGCATCTTATTATCAACAAAAACCAGCTGTTTACCAACAACGCTGTAAAAACACTCACATACTGTATAACAAAATGAAAAGAATGAGTCTCACCAGTGACCAGGTTTCTGTTCAGCTTCCCTCCCAGACGACCGAGCAGCTTCACCACCCTGAGTCTGAGCAGGACCAGAGGAGCGTCTTCCTGCACGCAGGAAGCAGCTAATCAAGTTTGATTTATTTTTATTATTATCATCATCATCATCATCAATGTTTAATCTTCAACATTTCATATATTCTTCCTCTGAGCATCAGTAATTTTATATTTTTATTTTTTTATAAGCTTTAATTTTTCTTTTGCACTTTGTCAAAATGTTTTTAATTGTTTACATAAATTCATTTGAATTGCCCGGTAGCTGAAACAAGCTTTGTAAATAAAGCTGCCTTGACTTTTAAGGTGGGAAATAAAAACAAAACAAAACAAAACAAAAAAGATTTTCAGCTAAAATGATGTCTGAATGCTAAGAGCTAAATGAGATGTGCTAAAGAAGCTGAAACTGAGAAAAAATAAAGCCAAAAAGGAACAAAACACTACCTTGAAGCTAAAGATAACACACACTGAGTAGCAAAAGGCTCTCTAAACATTGTAAACAGCTCAAAATTAAAAGGTCAAAATGTAAGCTAGAAGCTAAACGTAGCAAAAGACTAGCTAAAAAATAAGTATCAAAAAAGTAGCATAATTTCTGCTGAAAGTTAAGTAGTAAATGATCAAAGAAAAGCTAAAAGTTCCAAAAGCCACTAAAATGTAGCTAAATGTAGTGGACTGGCAGCTAAAATTAGCAATAGATTTTCTCATTCTATCTAAAGGCTAATAAAGTAACAAAAAGCTAGCTAAAAATTAGAAAACAAAAAAGCTGAAAGCTAAAACTAGCACAATGGTAACGATTAAAGCAAAAGGCTAGCTAAAAGCTAAATGTACCTAAAGTATGACTGAAAGCTAAATGTAGCAGAATAAAGAGTAAAAGCTAAAAGTAACATAAAAATAAAAACAAAAACAGAACCAGTTTGCAGATTAAAAAAAAACAATATGTTTGGATCTCTTTGATTAAGAAAAAATAAAGTGTTAAAACGTTTAAAGCTCTAAAATTTTAAAATTGATCAGAATGCTCTGAATGAGCTGAACATTGATATTAAACGGATAAAAAAAGCACAAAATTTTGAGTTATTAGTAGAAAACTTACAGGAAAGTTACAATAAAACATGAAAACAAAAGTGTGAATCCTGACTCATTATTCACATAATTAAATAAAAGTTACAAAACGTTTGTTTTGTTACCGTAGAGAGCTGGTTGGACTTCTTTAACAGCCTCGTCATCACTCTGCTGTACCCCCGGTCACTTCTCGAAGACAAAGAAGACATCACCTCCCATTTGCTCTCATCTTTGTCTGAAGAAAAAACATCATCCAATAAAACTTATAAACAAGGACCAACGTGACAGAGTTTGTCTTACCATTAGTAGAGGAGGTCTTCAGGTATCCATCGAGGAGCGGCAGGATCTCCTTGTAGCAGGACCGCATCGTCTCCTGGGTAATGTTGGAGGACCAGTCCTCGAGAGCATCCAGGGCTGTGTTGGCCAGAGGAACGTGGCTCAGACCCAGCCTCAGAGCTGTCTGGAGCCAATCAACAGAACAAATGTACACCAAGACATCATCGGCATAAAGTAAAACTCTGTAGAAACTATGTGTGGGTGGAGAGGAAGGTGGGGTTGGGTAGGGTTCAGGTAAGTAGGGTGTGCAGGTGAAAAGATAGGAAGGTACGTAGGAAGGACAGGTAGAATGGGTAGGGTAGGTACAAAGGTAAGTCTAAAGGTTAGAAAGGTAAGGAAAGTAGGTGTGTCCCGATAAAACTTTTTCACCTCCGATACGATACCGATATTGCAACTTTGAGAATTGGCCGATACTACTGACCCGATACCATATCAGTACGAATCACACACTTTTACCTATTTTGTAGTGTGAAATCTTAGAAAAGTCTTGATCAGGTCAAACAGTGAAAAAGAGTAGGTATGAGAAATACTGACCCATTTATTTTTAACCAATGGATCACATACATTTTAAACTGAAGAACATTCTACAATTTAATCAAATAAAATAAATAGGAAGACCCTGAAAAATAAAACATAATAAAAACAAAAAGTACTTTTAAAGCGCTGCTGGGTAGAGAAGCTGGAGCGGACTGCTTCTATCAGAGTGATGGTTTATCAGAGATTTTAGATGTAGGCCGATAAAATCCAATTGTTGTTTTTTGGCTCATATCGGACCGATATCCAATATCAATATCGGATCTGGACACCCATAGAGGTAAGTAGGAAGGACAGGTAGATAAGGTAAGTAAAGGTAATTAGCAGTGGTGGACAAAGTACTCAACTCTAGTACTTGAGTAAAAGTATTGATACTCATGGTCAAATCTACTCCACTACAAGTAAAAGTTACTCAGTCAAAAATCTACTCAAGTAAAAGTACTGAAGTACTTACTTTTGAAAATACTTAAGTATTCAGAAGTACATGCATTTTAAAGTACTTAAGTACAAAGTAAAAGTACAAATTACATTCTCTTTTTTACTTTTCTTTTTTGTCACTTCAGTAGAAAACAAAACTAAATATTAGTTTATTTATTTTATTTATTTCTTCATCATCAGTGACTTTTTTAAGTGAAGAGAAAATAGAGACAGAGAGAAAAACAGAGAGAGAAGTGATTAGAAAGATAGAAACATTGAAATAGTGATTAGAAGTAAAATAAATATACACCAACAAAACACAGGACCACACACCCAACATCTGTCCACTCACCTGAAAAATAAATGGATAAATACATGGAGGGCATATATAAAAATATACACATACCCATACATATATAAAGATATACATACATACATGCCTACATTCATAAATATTGTCAGTATATACACATAGACATATATACACACTCAGTGACCAGTCAGAACCCCTGGATCAGAGCACCTGTTTGTGAGCGGTTGTGAACATGTGTGTATATACAAGATGTCTCCAATGGAATATTTAATAGTGACTGTGGAGGACCGAGACCCAACCCCCAAGACACGAGGCAGACATAGGGAAGACCAGAGCCCAAGGGTCTGAGAGGGATCCCGAGCACAGAGCCCCAAGGGGCACCTGCACAGTGCTCTAAGCTAGCAGTTAGCACACAATGGTCGGCTATTTTTCAATCATCTCTCACAGCATTAAACCACAACCACTCTAACTAAASTCAACTTCATTTAAAGCGTTTAAACTAGTGAGAAAAAAGTTTGCTGACTTACCTCAATGTGCTTTCTCAGGTTAGATGGTGAGTTATGGAATGCTGAAAGGTAATTTACCCGTGGTAAACAGAGAAGACATTTGAACTGATACGTATTATTTTTAAGTCCTAAAACCTCGAACATTGAACTGAGATGTGGCCATGGGTGTGCTGGTTTCTCTCCTTGCGTTTCCTCAATGGTTTCCATTGCATCTTCTTCTTTTGTCTGGTTCTGCTTGAAATGAAAGTAAAGTGATGGGAGCGCGCGCTCCGCTACCGAGAGTTAACGAGTGTGACGTAGGCTATAAGCTACGCATGTGATTGGTTACCTTTGTGACGAACATAGCTTGTGGCCAATTGCATTTCATGAAAAGAAAAACCGGAACAACAGATTTTTTTCTTTTCTTTTTTTTTTTTACAGCGGATTATAATATGCTGATCTAAAAGTAACAAGTAACTACAAGCTTCCTAGAAATGTAGTGGAGTAAAAAGTACAATATTTGTCTTTGAAATGTAGTGGAGTAAAAGTAAAAAGTTCCCAAATAAATAACTACTCAAGTAAAGTACAGATACTCAAAAAATGTACTTAATTACAGTAATAAAGTAAAAGTACTTTGTTACTGTCCACCACTGGTAATTAGGTAGGGTTAGTAGGTAGAACGGTATCAAGGGAAGTAAAAAGGTAAGATAAGGAGGGTGGGTAGGTAGATAGGGAGGTAAGTAGGAAGGAAAGGTAGTTAGTGTAGGTAGAAAGATAAGTCTAGAGGGAAGTAGAAAGGTAAGGTAAGTAGGGTAGGGATAAATGTAAGTAGGTAGAAATGTAAGTCTGAAAATAAGTATAAAGGTAAGATAAATCGATGGGATAGATAGATGGGGTGGAATGGTAGGTATAAGTAAGTAGATAGGTAGGTAGGTAGGTAGGTAGGTAGGTAGGTAGGTAGGTAGGTAGGTAGGTAGGGTCTCAGAAAGTTGGATTTTTACATGACTGAACTGATAATTTGATATCTTTAACAAGTTTTACACAAGAACAGTTCAAGTCTGATGACTTTTAGAGATTTAACCACATGTTCATCTCAGATTAATGATGTTTTTAAAAGTTTTAAAACCAAACTCCAGTTATACAGCATGTGTGTGTATTTATCTCTGAAGAATCCCACCTCCAGAGCAGGACAGTAGGCCTTCATGTCCAGAGCCACGATGTTGTGGTGCAGCGAGAGGACGAAGGTCAAGCAGGACGCCAGGAGCTCGTCTTTGTACTGCTTCATGCTCACACACACCTGGTGGTCATCACACACACACAACACATCACACTCTAATATGTCGAACTCACAACAAGACATTTCTTTTTGACAAAATGAGGAACTACCTCTTTTCCAAACTTTGAGAAGAGCGCAAAACAAGCACTTTTAACCGTGTCGTCCTGATGGGATGCAGAACTTCTGAGACCAACTCCCTGTTCAAAAGCAAAATAACACATTTTTTTTCTTTTAAATTAATAATTAACACAATTCTAAAAAGATTTTTCATGTGATTACGAGTTCAGCCTGAAAGCTGAAATTAAAAACATTAAATGAAAATATGACCTGGAAGTACTTGATTCTCCTGGAGATTTTCATGGTGACGGACAGCAGCTTGTAAAATCCGCTGACGAGAGGGTTTCTTATGGAGTGGAGGATAAGTTCATGGCTCAGGGGATACATCCAGGAGTGGAAATACTCCACGTGTTTGTTCACCAACAACTCACTGCAACAAATAAATTACAATTAGACCTTTAAACGGTTGGATTCAGTGAGATACGTCAGGTGTCTCGTGGTTACAAATCTGCTGTTTACCTGCAGAAGTCAACCAGGTTGATGAAGGCCGTGAAGTCTTTGACCTTGTTGGGCAGCAGATGAGATGTGGGGTCAGACGATGGCAGGATGTGGGCGGAGTCATCCGACCCCTGGAAGACAACAGATTATAGGGACTCTGATCAATTAAAGAATTGCAGCTTGTCAAAAGTTGTAGACATTAATGTAGTGATAATGTGGGGCTTTTAATGAGTTATCTGAACTGTTTCTTTTGTAGAGTGGACTGATTATATAACACGCATCATCTGTTTCRCTGAGATGGAGGGACTTTGGTTTTGATATATTTTTCTTTTGCAAGTTAGTTTATTTCAAACATGTATACAAAACAAAACAAAAAACGATAAAAGTGTTGACAAAATTAACATATTTGAAAAGGAATGGGAAGAAGTAAAAACGTATTTATTCCCACCTTCTCCAAAGCTTATTAAAAAACWAAATTAAATTCTTCTTTTGCCTTATTCTAAGTTACAATTTCATAAAGACTAAAATAACAATCTGTTTACCTACTAATTTWAATACCAGAATATATTCATAAACATAAATGTACATCTACATGCAGTGTATATGCATACACACATAAATATACACACACACGTACGCGCATATGTACACAGCCCCAAACATCTCCATATATTGCAAAAAAAAAAAGATCACACACACTCAGCATCACTATATCTTTTGAAAATAATATTTTTATACCTGTCCTTTAWTTTTTTTTTATGTTGGARGTTCCTTCAGTTCCACAGTTTCACTCCACCAACAGAAATACTAAACCCTTTGTGAGTTGTATGAACAATCCTTGATTTAAAGTTAAACTGAGCCCTTAAATGATAACTCCTCTCCCCTTCAACAAATAATGTCTGAATATTACCTGGTAATAATTTGTTTTTTTGCTTTAAATGTTATTAGTGTTGTTTGTACCTCTACAAGATCTGTAAATTTGAGTAGTTTTGACAAAGAGAACAGTGAATTGATGTGATCCCTGTATCCAGCCTCGTGAATTATCCTTATTGCTTTTTGTTTTGCAAAATAAATAATGGATTATAATAATAACATTAAGAAATCACAAAGATTTAAAAGTTTTCTTTGAGGCGAAGTGGCTAGAATAATAAAAACTCTTCATCTCAAATCAAGAGCTGCACAGTTGAAACTTGGGATCAGCTGGGTGATCCAAACACATCAGAACCAGTTTCTGACTGGATAAAACAGGCATCAATAAGAAGAAACCAGACATTTTAACCAACTCTGCAGAGAAGAAAAAGTGGTCAAACACCAGAGGTCACCTCACCTCCTCTCCTGTTGTTATTTTCTTCACAGACAAGTCCAGCTTCTCCACGACGCGCAGAATCGACTTCACCAGCTCGTCGTACAGAAGACGACTCAGAGAGCCGAGGGCTGCGTTCTGGCTTTCAAAAGACCCGTCCAAAAATCCTGAGTCCTGCAGGAGGAACGAAACACGACAACATTTCACCGCAGACTTCTGTTTCTACCAACAAACAGGTTGAAAGTAACAAATAAATGAAGGAAAACAACAGGAAACACCTGTACCTTCAAATGATCACAGTCTAGAAGGCCTTTATACAGAGCGAGGTAGTTGTGACTGGTGGGAACTTTCCATTTTCCAGTCCTGACTTCAGAGGACTCACCCTTTTCTGCCTCCTTATATAACAACAGAAATCATGTTAATACCAAATAAAGAGACTAAACTTCTGTTTAAAAAATGAAAAACATAAAACAAGTCTGACCTCAGAGAGGAGGATGGGTTTAGAACAGACTCGAATCAAGCCCTGGTGCACTGGAAGATCAATAAATAAATAAAGAGAAAGACCAAACTATTGCAGCAGAAATGTTTTAAATAAAACCTTCCCACAACGGTTTCATGAACTGATCGTACCCACAGAGCTGATGAAACTCCACAGGACCGGACCCTTGGAGGCCATGGCCACCAGGACCTTCAGGATGGACCGGATGCAGGCGCCCTGCATCCTCTCGCTGTACTGAGGGAAGCTGTCGATCTGCACCACCAGCAGGCGCTCCAGTAACGGCGTGTACACCTCTGGGATCTGAGGACACGAGGAGTTACAGAGTCAGAGTGGTCAACCTGAGCCCACCTGCTGATGTTTGCTTTCTTTACCTTATCCAGGTGGATGAGGACGCTGGCTATAGAGTCCAGGAAACTGGGCAGCTGGTAGAAGCTGTCGTCCTCCCTGTCAGACTCTGTCAGATACATCTGCTTGCAGCGCTGGATCAACTCGGTGTACATCAGGTCCACATCCTGAGGACAGACCTTCTTACACGGCTGCAAGAAAAAAAACACATCAGAGCAGTTGTTACAAAATGAAACCCTCAAACAGCTTCATAAGATGGTCCAAAGACACAACGTCAGAGAAGGAGCTGAGTGAGTAAAACTCCACCGCAGCGTGCTGCAGCTGTTTCCTGCACAGCTGTGACTGTTGGAGACCGACTGGTGAACAGAGCTCAACAAGTACAGGGTTCCTCCTGAGGGTCACAGAGGCTCTCAGTCCTCTCCTGGGTTTAAAAGTGTTCAAAATAATCTATGAAACAAACTTCATAGTTGTGAAGTCATCCCAGGTGTCTCAAACCTGTCTCAGGTTGGTTTTTCATTATTTCTACAGATGAAAGATGGATTTCAAGATTACAGTCCTGAATGTCCATTTCTAAAACACATGGAGATAAAGAATTACTAAAAACCTCCAAAATTACTTGTTTAAATTTTAAAAACGTAAAGTTTACTTATTTAAATCACTAAGATTGTACCTTTTAATGACCAAATAAGTACCTGTTAACGACCAGTRAACYAACATGRATGTTCCAGGTCAYTCAGCTCTAAAACAACCAGAACTAAAGTGAAATTCATCTGATACTCCACTGATTAACAACATCCAAACTAAACATTTGTTTTTATTGATGAGGACTCAGATGAAGTTTGATTAAAAAAATATTTGGAGGGGTAAATAAGACCCTCAAAGATAAAAATGGTTTATATGATTAGAATAATTTAATCCCTTTTWAATAACTGGTAGCTGAGAGACAAGAGAAGTTCTGGTAATAAACAGGTGGTCCTACAACCTGGCTGAGGGCGGATTGTGTTTAGACCAAACTGATGCCAACAAACCCACCTGGGGYAAAATCAGAGCCAGGTTTAAACCAGTCTCAGTCCCACTTGTTTAGTTTGTCAATTTGACCTCAATTAACCTTAATTTCTCCAAACTGAGGATGTTCAAAGATTCTTCTWCAACAGGTAAGATATTAATTGTTCTTTTCACAGAACGTCTTTAACTTACAGCAGCAAAGAATCCGTATCCTCGTATAGCAATAGACAGCTCTTTGTGCGTGGAGTCCATGGTTTTAATGATGCCYCAGAACTTCTGCATGAAGAACTTTAACTTGGTTTTATGCTCTTCGATGTTCCCCGCCACCAACAGGGCCACCTGAAAACAAAAAGACCGCGGAGGGTCAGGACCCAGCGGGTCAGCAGGTCGYTCAGGATCTGAGGGCCTCACCTGTTTGAGAAAGGCTTCCAGAGCGAAGTAGCTGGTCTTCTTCATCTCACCGTTGATGTGCCCGCAGAGCCTGCACATGGTCTCAAACAGAACCCTGTAGTGGTCCATGAGGCAGCTGCTGAACTGGGACGCGTGCCGGGCCAGCAACCTGAGCCCGGCTGGTAAAAACAGACGCAGTCAGAGGAGATATTCTTCTATGGCYCAGAAAACAACAACCGGTGAGTCTTACCGAAGGTGACGGCGTAACGGTTCATTTGCATCTGCAGGAAACCAGGATTAAAAGTCAGCCAGGAGACAGGACAGAGTGAAATTATTACATATAYACTTTATAAAAGCCAAACCTGAGGAGTAATCGACTTCAGAGCAAACTGAAATATCTCCTTACAAGTTGCTGGGTCTGCGAGGCAGAGATAAACTAAGCYTTGTGTCGACACACAGAGATAATATTAATAATATTTATAAGATAAAACAGCGTCAGCCACCTTCCTCCATGGTTTTAGTGAAGTTCACCATCAGGGCCGTGATTCCTCTTAAACATCCAGCAACAACGAAAAGTTTGGGCTCCTTTGTGGAGGAAGTCATCTGAAGTGGAGAAAACAWGTCAGATCAGATCTGAAGGGTTTATTAGAGTAATTTAACCCTGAAGTTCGGAGCAGAAACATCTGGGCGTAAAGCACACCTGGTCTTTGAGCTCCCCCAGGTAAGCCCTGAACAGCTTGTCCGAGTTGTTGACCATCTCGCTCGGATGAACTTCTGCAAGAACTCCCAACAACTCGTAGATCTTCCCCAGAACTGTCACAAAACYAACAATCGAAATGTTGTGTAATTCAAAATGTTACAAACAAAATAAAAACATTTGGGGTTAAATTCGAGCTTTGAGTATGGGATCAATCTTGTGCCAACAGGAACTGAATTTGAATTGCTCAGATTGAATCTGAATGTGCAMAATTTGAAAMTGAATGCAAAGTTTTGCATCTGAATTAATTTGCTTTGAAACTGTATTTTGTTCTACTAAAATTTTAGTTTGACTACTTTCACTTTCAGTTCCATAATTCAGATTTTTGTGTCACATCCTGGTCCTTGAGAAAGCCAGGCAGAGTAATCAAACACAGATCCACAGATTTATGTTTCACTTTGGTGAAGTTTCCCTTCTGTATGTAACAGAGCTGATGTAATCCACTGTAAAAGTGACAAAAACAGATAAAGTTATTTTATTGCAGTGATTAATTTGACCTATATGTAGAAAATGTTACATTTACATCACATCATGGATCACATATTGATCAGATGCTGCTGCTGACTGATCCATGATGTGATGTAAATGTAATATTTTCTACATATATGTAAAATTAATCACTGCAATAAAATAACTTTGTCTGTTTTTATCACTTTTACAGTGGATTGCATCAACTCTGTTACATCCAGAAGGGAAACTTCACCAAAGTGAAACATAAATCTGTGGATCTGTGTTTGATTACTCTGCCTGGCTTTCTCAAGGACCAGGATGTGACACAAAAATCTGAATTATGGAACTGAAAGTGAAAGTAGTCAAACTGAATTTTTAATAAACCAAAATACAGTTTAAAAGAAAATTAATTCAGATACAAAACTTTAAATTTAGTGAAATTTATTTTCAAAACAATGCATTCAATTTCAAATTATGCACATTCAGATTCAATCTGAGCAATTCAAATTCAATTCCTGCTGGCACAAGATTTATCCCATATTTGGGCCAAAGAGCGGACCCACCTGTGTCAGGTAACTTGCTCTTCTGGCACAGCTCGCTGTAGAATTTGTTGAACATGTCGCAGATTCTGAAGTCTGCAGCGACGCTGGAAGACTTGGTCGTCTGGAGGACCTGTGGAGACGTCGACAACACGTGTCCTCAGGAGCAACAAAAGCACACCGACTGAAAATTCATGTTACAGGGTTCCTACATGTTTAAAAATAATGGTTTTAACCTTTATCAGCAGCTCCAGCAGCGGAGTTCGACATTTAGCGACTTTCTCCTTTGTGTACACGACCATGCACACGTCCTGCAGGAAAACAAAGAATAAACAAAYTGAACGTGTGTAAATAAAGCGCAGAGACTCGTATTTTTAAGTTTTAAAGCTTACTTTTATGTCGGTGGCGTAGGTTTTGTCCCAACCTTTGACTCTCGGCGACACTTTGTCCAGAAACTTCTCCAGAAACACRAAAACTTCCACCCGGGTGTCCCGCAGCTGGAAAACACACTTTTTTTCTTTAAACAATTAAACTTTTTATTTGATGACGTGATTATTTATTTTTACTCCGTACCTCATTGAATGGCAGGGACTTCCTGAGGAAGCTGAGCAGTCCATGGTCTTTAGAGAACAGCAGCGATGTCTGCAAAGCTTGATCAGAAGATAAAACTTATCAGAAATATTTCTTCTGTGACCCATACATGTAGGGATCATGGTCATAAGCTTTACCCAGGGGGTTCAACAATCAATCAGAGCCCCCCTYAAAGACCTCAGCTATTACCCATCAGCCAGGGAAGGTGAAAGGTCACGAGAGGGCGATTACAAAAGGAAAATAGCTGCAGCAGAAAAACACGACTTAGGTTTTGAACCACAAAACCAGGCCAAAGTACAGGTGGTTTACCCACAATGCACTGCAGCAAACACAATAATATGTCAAGCACGGTGGTGGAGGGCTGATGATTTAGACTCTAAGTATGTGACGGTGTGTTAAGAGTTTGAAGTGTTTCCTGTAAGACGAATTGATGAGCAGCACATTAAAACCCATAAAACATTTTTCCTTCTTGCTTTTTTTACTGTTTAACTAACAACAGAAGTGTTTTTGTGATAAAACCGTCAGTTTATAAATGGAGTCTGGCGCGTGGGATATGAGTGCTCCAGCCAGGGTCTGTTTGTGTCTTACCGAGCTCAGTCTCGGTGGTTGTTAGCATGCACTCCTGACCCAAATCACCGATAATATCGTGACATTTCAAAGCTGCGGAGCGGGAGTCTTCGTCTGAAAGAGACTCYTGAAGTTTCAGAAGAAGTCCCTGGATCCCCGAAGCGGTACTGCCGGTCTGGGAGGACATGTCCGCGGCACCYGGTCGGTCCTAAAACCGGAATCTTAATCTCACCATCACTTCAGCTACAATCAAAGCCCAACAACGGGGCAGTAAAGTTCGCCAGCCTGCATAAGCGAAATTAAATAAAACACCCGGAAGAACGAGGACAGGATACCGCCGAGGGGCGTTTCAAAATAAAAGCGCTCYATTCTGTCGAGTGAAGTGATTTAAACGAGTCGACGCGGAAAAATATAAAACCATTTCAGGATAATCACCCCAGACTTTATTACTTTATTACTTGATTACTTGATTACTGTTAAACATAATTGGGAGTCCTGAAGCATACTAATCCATTCTCACACAAACCAACAGAGAAATTACTTTGAAGTTGAAACCGGAAATTAAAAACGTCTTTTTTAACTGGTGGAAAATGTCGCCCTCTAGTGGTCAACCTTAAACAGTTTGACTTCTTTGGTAATTATAAGTTTGTTTTTTCATTATAAAATTATCTGATTTGATTTTTAAACACAATACAGGCCAGGAACAAAAGATGATTGATTGATTGATTGATTGATTGATTGATTGATTGATTGATTGATTGAAAAAACAGTCCGAAAGTAAAAAGATTTAATAAACAAAGGAGGGCTGCAGTTGCAGCAACAACTTACAAGAATAACTCTCAGAAAAAGGCACAAAGAACAGGGCCACGGGAGGACACCACGCTGGCTGTAAACAACAATCAGACACAGACTGAGGACAAGACACCAAATATAAAGACAAATGATGAGGGACAATGAGAAACACCTGGAGGAGACAAGAGGAAACAGGTGAGTGTGGGCGGGGCTGCAGGGCAGAGTAACANATGAGGGACAATGAGAAACACCTGGAGGAGACAAGAGGAAACAGGTGAGTGTGGGCGGGGCTGCAGGGCAGAGTAACACAGGGGAACACTGAAAAACACTAGACAAACCAAGAAAACAAACAGACTGTGACAAAACACCRCCTCTCCTGCCTGCAGCCTGACTCAGGTCCTGGTTCCAACCCGGTCCAGTTCCATGATTAGCTGCACCAGGTTGACCCTGGTTATGTCTGGGCTGCTGTTTTTTCATCAGCAGGTCTACGAGAGTTCATATCTGCTTCTTCTGAGGCATGGAGAACTCCTCTCTGTGGTTCTGCATCATCATGACTGCTGATGTTTTGGTCCAAGTTTACATCTAAGCCTTTGTTTACATGCAAACTCATATTTCTACAGTTTCTTCATGTCGTTGAGGGCCCAGCCGCCTCGAGGCCAGCAGTCTGGAGCTGGAACTCCTTTGCCTAAAAACACAAAAACAAAGTACTGTCAGGTACTAAAACATGTTGCAGACTACAGTGGCCCAGAAAGATGAACAAAACTCAAAAGCCACAACACAACAGAAACATCTGTGGCTGTTGTTGTGATTGTTCTGAGCCTCTGTCATAGACTGTAAAACCAAACGTTTCTCCCTGAAACCTGGCTGAACGTGAGGCCTTACCCTGGTCTTATGTTTCAGGCCCAGCTGGAYTTTAAACTCTGCCGGTGTCTCCTCTTCAGAGTACAGCCTTTTACAGAAGTACACGCTCCGAACGCAGCAGCTGGCGTTAATCTGAGGACAAAAAACAGGTCKGACAAATTAAARAAATGAAAACTTCATTGCTGCACCTGGAGACTGCTGAACCTGCGTGCTCACCTGGACTCGCAGCGTTTCTGTGTAAGTTGTCCCGTAGACKTTCTTGGTGAAGTTCGACAGGTCTATCACCAGCTTGTGCCAGCGACCGTCCAGCTGCAGCGGTATGGTGCAGCGAAAGGGAGACACTTGGGCCGAGCTCCAGCTGCTGCTTAGATTAAACCTGCGTCGAAACTTTGTGTCATCCAACACCTGAGATGAAAACAGTAAATACACAAGCTGAGGCAGCTGATTGTGAGTGTACACCCTGTCAACGAAGAAAACCAGTTTGTGCTCGCACCTGGATCTCAAAGGTGAAGGGGTGCCTCAGCTGTTTTACGAGCAGGACCAGAACTGGCAGGTGGATGCCGAGTGTCTCTGTGGGGTCTGCGGGACACGTCATGAAGGTGGTGCTGCGAGGAGAGGAAAAGTTTTAGAACAAGAACACCTGAAAGGCTGAATGAGCAAACAGACAAGTCACCTGGCGTTTGTTCCTTCAATATTCCACACAAGCGACTGGATATCGTCGTCTGTGATTCTTTCCATGTGCCCGTTTTTCACCTGTGAGCACAGAAACGTTATTACTTTGGGTTGGAAAGTAAATCTGAAGGACACTGAAACTGTCAAAATGAAGGAAAACATTATGATGCAGACCCAGGCTGTAGCCCCAGACACGCAAACAGTGGCTGACAGTTTTCTGGGTCTGCTCAGACATGTTTCAGCTGATCTCTGCAGTGCCTTAAACAATTACTGAAACTCGTGTTTTTAGTCTCATGTTTTTAGTTTGATTTATTTGACAAGAGAGGGGAATATATTTATTCTTAGAAAACCAAAATCCAACTATAAAACCATCTGTGTGATTTGGCTCATATTTCTGTATGTGGAAGCTAAGTGGTAGAATTTCCCTAAAAATTTCATTTAAAAAACGTTTTTTTATATATATAATTTCATATTTTACAGGCAAAGGAYCCCTGCAATGAAGGTTGGCCTCCTCCCCTCTTCAGTTGTCCAGGACAGAGACGAGAACCGCTGGACAAGAAAGACCTCCGAGCGGCTTATTGCCGAAATGTGACCGAGCGGAGCGCTTCGTTTGCGGCGTGACAGCCCAGTGGGAGCCGCGCGGCCCCGCTCGTGCTCTGTAATCTTTAAAACTTTAATCAACTGTTCTCTGTGGTGTAATAAACATTTTAAAAGAGTAATAAACAATTCCTGAAAGTTTCATATAAATCCATTCGGTAGTTTTTGAGATATAAACCTGAGAAGGTAGCTGGCTAGCTTTAGCAAAACTACCCTGTTGTCGGGGAAACCGTAAACATCCGGTTACTGCGGGTGGTTGTGGGTAATGAAGTCCAAAGTTGGACCGTGAGATAAARCCACTGGACATGAAGGCATCAGGGACTGATAACCTCTAATAAAGTCCATTTAAGGAAGTCAGGATCCGTTTTTATTAGTTTCTTTCCTACATGTCCCATAGAACGTTACAAAAGCAATAAATAACATCAAATAACACTATTCTAACGTGCTCTCAACCCACATAAACATAACTTTTTGTAAACAAGCAACATTACTCACTCAGTCACTTTTAATTTGACATTTAGGTAAAAATGTCACAAGTTTGAACTCACTGATGAACGCTCACCGTCGTGTTGTGAGTAAAAATTAAGCTGCACTCACAAAATATATTTAAACACTGAATCATTAGGCTATWTTTTGCGACTTTTTTTAATGACGTGAACAAATCGTAACGGTCGCTGGTAAAATGCATGTGAGAAATCATGCTAGCAGCCTAATTAAAACTTAATTAGGTTGTGTTATATTAATTAGGTTACCTGTTGGCTCCAGTTCTCCATCGGCTTGCTTCCGATTGCTTGAAAAATGGGGACAAATCTTCCTTGATAGGCAGTTTTAAACATTTTCGTGGTCAGTTTCCGTGCTTCAGTCCTAAAGTCGTGTTTCAGAGGTTAAAGTTCTTATAAGTCCTCAAAAGTCGCTTTTCAAAAGTTATTTAAGTTCTTATAAGTCCTAAAAAGTCGCGTTTCTATGGCTACATTCTAACCTGTTTTATTTAAATATATATAATTATATACATGTGGTGTGGTTTTATTACATTCACACTAAATAAACAGTTGCTTACAGGTAAACACTGCATCACTTTGTAAACACAAACAGGCACTGCAATAAAGTCTCCAGCAGAGGGCGCTCATGGGTTGGAAAACATCTAAAATTAAAGAAATTTTAAAAAGAAAAATGATACAAAATTAAAACTTATGTGGTGACAAAAACAACAAAAACATCATATATTAACATACTGGAAATATTTTTTTCTTTCTTATATTTTTTAAGTTTCTGCAAAGTTGAGCAAACTTTGTGTTTTTTAATAAATTAGGGATCTTTTTAACTAAAACAAACATCTAGACTGACAGCTGCACAAACTGAATGATATATATATTTTTAGTTTCTTGTGTTTCTAGTTTTAATAATTAGCTTTGTGGTGGTTGTGCAGTGATTTACAGCTGCTGTGTGTCTCAACCTGGACAATTTTTAAATGTATATATTTTAAATGTAAATGGTTTTTGATTGACAAAATAAATCCCAGCTACAGAGACACTGAATTTTAATTCAAAAGGATCACACAGAAACAAAAACAACCCAAACAAGCTAATTTAGGCAGTTTGTTTCTTTTTTAACTTTCTTGGCAAATAAAGGTAAGATATTACGCACCGGAAGTGATAAATTGTGTTTTCAGATTAAAACTTTCAGTGATTTGCAAACCTTTCAGATTTTTGACCAAAAATAAAAAAGTTGCAGAAAGTTTTGACATCAGCTGTTGATGCTTAAAGTAACAAAGAATCATTTTCAACCATTACAGAATTAATCTGATTCATTTATGATGTCTGTTTTTATTTATGGTACCATATTGCCTTTTTTTTTTTTTTTACTGCTTTGTTTATTTAGCMCTTAACTGCTGTTCTGCTGGTTTTAGCTTTTAGGCAATATTTTGGCAGTTTATCAGTTTAGTTTTTCTAATTGTCATGGTCATTTTACTTTTTTCTTTTTTSTTTTGGTAATTTTTGTTTAACTTTTGCTATTATTAGCATTCAACTCTGTTTAAAATTTTATAGCTTCTGTTTTATATTTGGCTTATATTGCTATATTCATCTTTTAAATGTTGTTTAGAATAATTTTAACTTCTGCTCTTATTGCTTAAATTTGATAAATACAGTTTAGCTCCTTTAAACAAACTTCAGTGCAGAAATGAAAACAGTGTTTGGATGAAAAAGCTAAGTTTTGCTCAGATTTTCACTTTTTTAATTATTTGTTTGTTTATACAGGAGTTTTTTATTTTATGCTTATGTTACTAAATATAAATACAGTTTTGTTTGGTTCATTTGTTCATCAAATGTAAACGACCTACCTTGTCTGTCATTTTATTTTTCAGATCTCTTCACTGACCGCGCTTCAGTTTTATTTTGAAAGGRGGAGCAGGAAGTAGATGTGTTTACTGCGCATGCTTGGCAGCTTGCAGCTCCAGGCACCTGTTGTTCTGGGAGGAGGACTCAGCGCGTGCACATGAGCACGTTAATCACAAGTTACCATCAGATGGAATAAGAGGCATCAGCCCGAGCGGACTACCAGACTTTGTGGAATAATTTACATTTTTTTAAACCACCGGACTTCATTATTTTAATCTTTTTTAGGATTTACTGTCGCGGCGATGTTTAAAGATCCAACACCAGGTGAATATTCAAAACTTTCCTTCACCGCTGTTTGTCAGCGTTAAAATCTAAGTGGAAAACGGCGCAAAACATTTGGTGCAAAGCTTTTAATGTGTTTATTCTTTAAAGTTAAAACCAGTTTTTGACATTTTGTACCGTTTAAACACGAGTTCAGGAAACTCCTGAGAAGTTTGTGTCTGCTCCGCTCTGGTTAATTAAGCTGCAAGGAAAGTCGACATTTCAAGTTACAAAAAAGTTCTCTGGCAGGTCGTTTTTAGCGCCGAATTACCGAACAATACTTAATAAATGTTATTAACTTAATATGGTTGAAATTGGAAATATTTTAGCGGAGTAAAAAGGAAAAAAATGTACGATTTCTGATTTTTCGATAGAAGTGTCGTGTTGTTTGGGCTTCTAGTCGTGCAGGGGCAATAATATTATTTCTAGGCAAAATTTTAAATGGCAAAAAATTAAAATCAATGACTTAAACTGTGCAGCACTTTGTTTGTTTTGCTTTATAAATAAAATTAATTTGATTTGTGCTTGTTTGTGCTGCTGAATCAAAATTTCATCACCTTCATTTAAGTTTTAGATTGTGCCAGAGGTATCTATCTATCTATCTATCTATCTATCTATCTATCTATCTATCTATCTATCTATCTATCTAAATATCTAAATATCTAAATAAATAAAAGAAAGTGAGGGTTATATTTTGTCCTTAAATGACCCAAATGAAGGATTCCAGTCTTGTTTCCAGGAAGTGTTACATGTTGCAGACTCCACCTGTTGATGTGTCATCATGGCCATGAACAGGTAAATGATGTCATGGTGCTGCAGCTGGCTCTGATCAGCATTAAGCGTCCCGCTCTGTGCTCCACAGAGTCCTTCCTGCAGTGATCCGAGGGGACAGCAGGACTCAGARCCACAGGGACCACAGAGGCATGCTGGCTGCCATGCTGCGCCAGAGTTCTGCTGGAGGATCGGGAGGCGGCGGAGGCGGAACCAAGCCCCCTCTGGGCTCCCGGCTCTCCAGCTCCAGCTTGGGTTCAGGAGGATCCTCCAGGGTGGGCAGGAGTGGTTGGGTCAGCCCGGACAGCCCCGATGCCCCCGCCGCAGACCCGCACTACATCATGCAGCTGGTCAGCGACGTYCGCAGGTTTGCAGACGTGCTCCTGCAGCTCAAAGAGGTCTTCAACTCCACAGGTGTGTTAACTCAGACCACACAGCATGCTCTCACAATAATCACAGTTTACTGAGAGTCCGGTCCGGTCCGGTCCGGTTAGCTAAAGCCCGCTCCAGCTGATGAGTCAGTTCTGAAGGTAACCTGTGAGGAACTTGTTTCCACAACATATGAGGGCTTTGCTTTCCTCTGACTTCCTGTTTTCTGCTTCATCATGCATCAAACTCAAATCAAAGGTATTCCTTGGAGGAAAACTCCTGTCCTGCTGCTGTTTGTGCTGCTCACCATGTTTGATCTGTTTGTCAAGTCATGGAGGTGACAGAGCTGTGGTCATGATGAACCAGGATCTGCTCTGTGGTTCAGTACAGACAAACAGACTGTCTCCTCTTCACAAAGCCTGCTCTTCTTATTGGAGAATAGTTACAAAGAAACCAGAAAATTCACGATTCGGTTCAATACTTTAGTCTCACAGTTCGATATTTTTTCGATACAAAAAAGAGAAATTCCCATGCCCCTTTTAACTTGTAATTTACTTAAATTAATTATGAACATTTGTTTAACCTCAAAAGTACAGTTTTTAAATGAAATGTTGCTGAAACAGCAAGTTTCTCAGTGGATCTGTGCTCGACAATGCAGCCTAGGTGGAGTAGTCGAACACAGATCCACTGATCCTTCAACACAGAGCATCTTCAGAAGACGAGCTGATAAATTTTAAAAATCTGTATTGTTCCATACAGCACTGTTCAGTACGGGTACATGTATTAAATGTTTATCAAATAACGTCTGGTGTCAGAACTAGTCGCGGTCCCTTTAAAGGCATTTTTAACAGAAATAAGCTGCCGGACCCTCGACTCCTCGGTCAGTCAACCCCTCTTATCTCTATTTATTTGAGTTCTTATCTTCCTGGTAAAGCAGAGAACAGGTCCAGGAGTTTTTTTCAGACGGTTTTAAAGGTTGAACTGATGTCTGCTGCCTGTATGATTTGTGTTTTCATGTTTCCCACTGTTCAGGCTCGTTAAGAAGCTAAGTGAGGTAAAAGTCCCAGGCTTTTAGGCCAAACAGACCCAGATCCAGTGTTTTTCTGGGAGCTCAGTACAGGTCTGACCCAGCTGCTGGGCGTTGGGGACGTCTCGTCYTCAGTCAGGTGAAATCAGACACGGCTGCAGCTTCCAGTTTGTTTCAAACCAGATTAAACATGATGGCCACACGGCGTGCTCACACATGTCCTTACCATGTAGCACAGCTGCATTGTTGTCATTCTAAACAATCTGTGAGGAACCGGTTGGTAATCTGCGTCTTCTTCACATTCTAATTACTGTTGCCTGTAAGAACAAAGCACTGACTGCTTTCAGCCGTACCCGTCCGTCCACTTTCCTCTTCAGGTCTTAGTGACAGAAGCTCCCAGGCTTTAACCTGAGGCAGTTTTCTGGAGGGTTTGTGTGTCTGGTCTTTAAGGTTCAGGACCGCTGGGAGCGGGGGCATTGTGCGGGGGGGCTCGGATGAGWTTTAAAGCTCTGATTTATGAGCGTATTGTTTCTGCAGCGCGTCACAAAGCTTCCAAACTCTCTTCAAAAAACTAAAAAACTGTCCAGCCTGACAGAGCGAGCAGTCAGAACTCTGGGTCCTGAATCCCTCCAACAGAGGCTTCATTCACAGTCAGTGAGGTGAGACTGACACCCATTGTCCTGCTCAGGGGACGGGGGGGCATCTCCGGACCAGCATGCTTCTATCTGTGCACAGAACGGTTCTTTCCCAAGTCAGGAATAGTTTGTGGCTGCAGGACTGCTCCCCTGGGTGTTTGACTCCATGTTTTATTTTCCAGCCGAGCAGATTCTCCTTACATGGACTCGGTTCCACAGGGCCTCCAGTTAATGCTGCTGCATGGCAGAGTTTAGCTTTTCACTGCAGTCTGGGAACAGACTGCATGCACACAGTTCTGTCTCTTCATTTAATCCAGAACTGTGTGCATGCAGTCTGGGAACAGACTGCATGCACACAGTTCTGGATTAAATGAAGAGACAYAAATCAGCATAAACACACCTCACTGTAGCTAACAAGGTTCTGATCAGGTCATCACCTGAACCAGATCTTATTATTCTTAACAAAGACCTTAAAAAGTGATTCATGCTCTCATTACYTCCCGTTTGGATTATTGTAATTCTTTGTATGTTGGTTTAGATAAATCTTCTCTGCYTCYATTARAAGTTGTCCAGAACGCAGCAGCTCGTCTTTTAACAGGAAGTAAAAAACACAAACACATCCCTGGTTCTGGCTTCCTGTTCATTTTAGGATGAATTTTAAGATTTTATTGCTTACTTTTAAAGCTTTAAAGCAGGGGRGTCCAAACATTTTGTCAAAATCATAAAGTCAGAAGGACTTGAGGACCAAAAATATATTTCCTTTARRTGCTCAACAATAAACTAAGCATTGAAGACTTTAATTAAACAAAAAACAGTCAGATTTATTGCTGGAAATGGATGTGTAAATTAATCTAGATCCAGAACTTTAAAAGTGTTTTGCAGGATTCCCTTATTGAAAGAAATTTTTCAATTGTCTAGGTTTCACTTGGGGGAAACAAATAACCCAGTTTAGTCAATTCTGATCAATAAAATCAGGATTTATGTCACTGTTTTGTTGAAAATGCTTGTTGTATTCAGACTAATTAAAAAATTAATTAAAATCAGATTGGATGCAGCAAAATCAGCTTTTGAGTACAAGTCCCCAGATAAATGTGGAAAAAACTGAGTCTGGTTATTTAAAGACAAATAATTGGTAATGTTGCCAATATTTTTTAATCATAAGATTTTATTTTGTGATAAATTTACCCTAATAATAAATATAAAGTCTCCACCTACATCAAATACCTGTGC